CTAGGTTGTGGGCTTGATCCCTAGTAGGGGGCGTGCAGGAGGTAGCCAATCAATTACTCCATCATTGATGTTTCTATCTCTCTCTCTCTCTTTCCCTCTCTCTGAAATCAATAAAATAACTTTTTAATTTTTTTTTTAAAAAAAGGTCAAAGGGCTAGTGAAGGAGGCCAAAGACTAGTTCAGTTGAGTGTGTGCCACCAGGGATACATGTGGCTTATGGGGTGCAGGGATAGTGTCACCTTGGTCATCCAAGTTTGGGCTGTATATCCTAAAAGCAGTCACTACACAGAATGAAGCCCATACTGCCTGGCCTGGCATCCTAGGGCCTGGTGGCCTCACTGACTAAGCAGAGTAGGTCCCTCAGTTAGTCCTATTGCCTATGTGAGGACACAGGTTGGTCTCCCTGGAATGCCTTTCCTTCCCTTTCTCTCTTTCTGTGTGTCAGAATCCCATACCCCCTTTCAAAAAGGCCTAGCTCACGTTGTTATAACTTTAGCTGACACTTAATGAGTCCTTTCCTGTGTGCCAGTCATTGCTCTTGGCACTTCACACCTGTCCTCCCTTAAACTCTCCCCTGTCCAAGGACTGCTTCCTTGCCTTGCTCACTAACAAGCCTGCTGGAGGAGCTCAGACTCTGGCGCCTCCCTGGACTGGAAGTCTGACAATGGGGTCTGGCTCACAGCTCTTAGGAGCTGCTTCATCATTGAACCTCCCTGTGTCTCAGCGCCTCATCTAGTAAATGGGGAAAACAGCATTACAGTGTTGTGGGGAAGATTAAAGGAAAGCTTGGGGAATTGTAGAACACAGTGCTGACACATGGTAGATGCTCAGGGAAACAGCAGGCAAGTCAGCAAGTCTGCAACAACACTTCCCCCCATAAGAAACCCTTTCCCACCCATAGTGCTTTATTCAGTAAATACCTGAGTGCCTGCCATGGGCCAAGCACTGGCTAGTTACACAGTGCAACTTCTATTATAAAACACCTATAACGTTTTCCTCTTTTTGCAAATAAGCCAAAGCTTTGTGCTCACGTATCCTGCTTGTTGTGTATATTGGACCGCCCTGGGTCCCAACTGGGGCTGAGCCAAATTCGGCCTTCTGAAGGTCAACCTAAGAGACCTTAATCACAAGGAACAGAAAACTAGCCAGAGAGTTCTGCTGCCCCCTGGTGTCAGTGTACTCTCACTGGGACCACCCCTGTATCCTACCACAGGCTGGGCAGGGTGCGAAGGCCTTGAGGTCAGAATTCTCCTACATAGTGGTGTACTGTGTGCAAATCCAGCCTTTCTTTTGTGAGGTATGTCCTCAGCTGTTCTGCTTGGAGTTCCACTATCTATCAAGGTCCTAGCTGCCTTCTTCTTGGGCTTTCTGGCATGGCCCCAGACCTCACACCAGTCTTCCACCCTTATGAGAGCCTGGAGCGGGGAGGGGGAAGGCCTGATAGGGCTGAACTGAGCTAGGCTGTGCAGGTCTGCACCTGCCCTGGACACGGACAGCAAGACGGCTTCCACACCATGCTATGCTACCAGGGCCAGCCCCCAGGGTCACAGCTGAGGCTTCCTATCTTCCCCTTCCTGGAGCTCAGCCTCAAATGGGCCACCCTTGGGCCACATCTATTCTCATACACTTCACAACAGCCTCTCATTGCTCTCCCAGGCTGCACTCTCCTCTTGCTGGCTCAGCCTGTCCACTACAGCTAATCGAGAGCTTCTCTGCCCCCTAAATGAAAGCCTCTCCGCCAGAATCCTCCACCTACAACCCAGGCTCCCTAGTCACTAGACCTTGAAGACTCACCCGTACCATAGTTCTTTTTTTAAAAAAATGTATCTTTATTGATTTCAGAGAGAGGAAAGACGAGGGAGAGAGAGAGATAGAAACATCAATAATGAGAGAGTCAATGATCGAGCCCGAAACCAGGGCATGTGCCCTGACAGGGAATCGAACCCTGATCGCCTGGATCCTAGTTCGACGCTCAACCGCTGAGCCACGCCCGGCCGGGCCCTACCATAGTTCTTACTCCACATCTTTGTTGGCCTGACTTTCTCTATCTGGAGTTTGGCCTTCCTGACTTTGACAAGCACCCCTCTATGCTGGAAAAGTCGACTCTGTGGCAACTGCTGGCCAGGTATATGGTTGAGCAGACTGGACCCTGCACAAGGGCATGAGGCTGCATCAGCCTAGAGAAAGGAGTACCATCTTAGAAGTTCACCTGCTTTACACAATGGTGCCGTATAGGCAGGCAGAAGTGTCAATCCATTGCTCCCATGGTCCTGAGTGCTGACTGCATGGAGACCAGGCACAGCATCTGACTATTTTATCTCTTTCTTTGTTTACTACTCAACACACAGGTGAAATGTGGGATGGCTTCCCCAGTGGGAGCAGGACAGATGCAGCCTCTGCTCTTGAGGGCTCAGAGCACATGGCTGCCTCTCCCAGATAGTCAGTTCCTCCTCCAAGCAGCTCCCCTACTCTTTTTGTCCCTCACTCTCTCCCTGTGGCCTCTTGGAGTCAGTCTTTGTCAGACTGGGTGGCAAAAAGCACATCACTCTACTAAAGGGTGACACCACCTTGGAGGTCTTCTCCTGTTTCTGGCTGAGCCAAAGGGTTGTGGCAGCTGCAAGGCAGAATATTTTCTCAGTTTTAGCTTAGGAGTCCCCTCTGCCCCTAGAGAAAGGCTGGAGTCCCAGTGAAGTCCCAAGCAAAGTGGATACATGATCTGGGAATGCCCCAATGTGTGTCTGGGGTGTTCTCTCCAACAAGTGCCTCAGTCTTTTAGAACAAGTGTGGCATCTTTGAGGAAATTACTGTTTGCATTGAGAAGTTTGGGCCCTATGGAGGCAGCTGCCACTTGCATAAAGAGTCGCCCTTCTTGACCACTCCAAGGCTCCTGGCCAGTCCCTCAGTAAGGCAATTTCTCCATTTGGGGAGGCACCTGACCACTTTGAGAAATGCTCCACAATGAAGCAGGACAGAAGGCGAGTTTGAGTCAGTGCCTGCTGAACCTCACTTTCAGACAAGGACCCTGCACTGTGAGAGGTTTTTGTTTTCACAGGCTATTGATGACTCCTGCCTCATGTGGCCTTGTAGCTCTCAGATACCTCCCAGCAGCCACACACAACCAAGGCTCCAGAGAGCTGTCCTTGGACCCCTGGCTGGTGGGGGCCTCCTAAGGGTAGGGCAAAGGGGTCCTGGTTCTAGAGAAAGGCTCTGAGACCCTCACCCACGCAATAAAAGGTGGCTGTTCCTATCATCATCATTTCTTGTTTGTTTTTCTAACCCTCACCCAAGGATATTTTTTTCCATTGCTTTTCAGAGAGAGTGGAAGGGAGAGAGAGAGAGAGAGAGAGATGTCAATGTGAGAGAGATACATCCATTGGTTGCTTCCCAGAAGCTCCCCAGCCGGGGCTGGGGATCAAGCCTGCAACCGAGGTACATGCCCTTGGCCAGACTCAAACGCGAGACTCTTCAGTCCACAAGCTGACACTCTAACCACTGAGCCAAACCAGCCAGGGCTGTCATCATCTTTGATAACTCCTGCTCCTCACTCCTGACCCCAGCTCTAGCCCTGACCTTGCCTATTGCATGAACACATCAGGCCCAGAGTGGCCCTGCACGGATACTGGCAGACAGAAGGAGCTTAGGGAGAGAAAGGGATTAGAGAGGCCTCCCCAGCTCCCCAGCTCAGGAGAGGTGTCCCTGTGGCCTGACTCAGGGCAATGGGCAGTGGATGGGAGGAAAGACTACCTGGTCCACCAACTTTCTAGTTTCGGGCCTCATACCATCAAACACTTAGCAATCAGTTAAAACCTCAGACGGAACCCCCAGTCTGCCAGATATTATCTGTTTAACATTGGACAAGTCAATTAATTTCTGAATCTCAGTAAAAAGGGGAAAGCACCACCAACCTCCTAGGATTTGCTGTGAATATTAAATAACAGGCAAAGTTTCAGGTAAGAATTCCAAAAGGTCGACTCCCCCTGCCTTGTTTGGCTCAAAAAGAACCTTATCGCTTCCTCTGATGCTGCTGTTTGTAAAATAATAAACACTAACATTCACAGAGCATTTGCTCTGGGCCAGGTCCAGCTTAAGACCAGTTTCAGGTTCAAGCATTTCACAGACATTATCAGGCTCAATCGACACATGAAGGGAGTGGGGTGGGGGT